ATCCAGAAGACCTCCAAGGAGAGTGAACCCACCAGGTCGTGAGGCAGCACATTCCACTCTGGGACAACCCTAACTGCGGAAATTGTTCTTGACTTCTCTCCTAAATAGACCACTTGGAGGCTTCCCCCAGTTCTGCCCTCTGGGGTCAGACAGAACCAATCCCATCCTTGCTCCTCCCCACAGTTATCCTGTTTCCCCTGACTCTAGTCCTCTTTCCTGAGGTCAAACATCCCGGTTCTTTTCACTAAGCAGTGTACGTCCTGGACTTCAGGCCCTTCACGAGGCTGGCTGTGCTCTGGACCCTCTGCAGCTTACCAACATCTCTCTTAAACAGTAGTACCAGAACCCAACAATACCCCAAATGAAGTCGGCTTAGGGCAGAGTGTAGTGGACCTACCAATGCCCTATCCCAGCCCGTCTTGGTGCAGCCCAGGCTTCTGCTAGCTTTTTGGGTCAAAGCCACCAAAATCTCCAGATCTTTTCCAGAACTGCTTTTTCTTAACGCCACTCCCATTTTATACTTGCAAATTCATTTGGGGGAGGGAGAGAATCAACCAGGTGTAAAGCTTACCATTTATTCTTATTGAATTTCATCATATTAGATTCAGTCCAGAGTTCTACCTGCTATGATTCTTTCAGATCCTGACTCTTGTATCTATTATTCATCCCTTCCACCCTCGTGTCATCTTCAAGACTGATCGTCTATGCCTCTATACAAGCCAAAACAAGCTTCCTTCTTGCCCTTCATTTTCGGCATCTGACATTTCTGTGTGTATCCTGTCACATGTAACTGAGCCACGAAGTGACTGATCCTGAGAGGGTAGGTGAACTCTAAGAAGAGGAAGAAAATCACTTCAATAAGCACTTATTAAGCAACTACTGGGTGCCAGGAACCAGGGATTCAGAAGCAAAAATGACAAAAGTGAGTCCTTGCTCACTAGGAGCCTAAATTCTGAGGGGTGGGGACACCTCTCCACAAGCAATAAATGCACAATATAGGGAAACATGCCCAGTCTGCAAGTGGAGAACACGGAGAATGCTGAGTTTGGAGGTGGCCCATCTATTATAAAGCTCTTTCTCTGTTATTGCTAGAACTTTGAACAATCAATCAGCAACATCAGCAACTGTGAACTAGCCTCTTTATAAGAGTTTGCAAAGCACTTTATGTATGTTAACTCGTTTGATTCTTGAAAGCCTGTGAGGGGAGTGCTAGGTCATCCCCATTTTACAGAGGAGAAAACTGAGGCTCTGAGAGGTTGTGATTTGCTCAAGGTCAGCTAGTGTCTGAGGAAGGGGGTGAGCTAGGCCTGCCCTGATGCCAAGTCCAGCCCTCTATCCCCAGAACCCAGAAATTGGCACCACTTTCTACCAACCAGTGCACCCCTCCAAATGCTTCAGGAAAGTAGGTGTTTAATCGGGTTCGTCCATAGTGGAAAGGTTCCCGCTGGAATGCCAGTCACTCTGATCTCTCTGCCAAGTGGCGCGGGGAACAGACCTGATCTGGCCTGAGAGGTCAGCGCGCATATCCTGGCAGTGCTTCTCCTGACCTCTGCACCCCACCCAAGTCCCCTTTCCTGTGGGCCTCCGGTTCCTCACCCGTAAAAGAAGCTAGGGTTGCCTCCCTTTCAAAACCCCAGATTATACAAGCCCAGGCCGCCAAGATACTCCTGCATACCAAATATGATAAAAGTTTCAAGTGCTTACTTGGAAGCAAATAAACAAAGTTAAACAGAGTTAAGCAAACACCTGGCAGGCTGGTCAGGTGGCTCACATAAGGAAGTAAGACGCAACTTCTCACCGCCCAGGGTGGGATTTCCTCCACCCTGGTGTACTATGTCCTTTTCAAGTCCCCCTCTCTGGCCCAACTTCACAGGCAGCCTTGGGCTCTGGGACTCAGCCTGGCCTGAAAATCATGCTTGAGGAGTTTTCTTTGTCCTGGTGTTAGATCTTTCTGCCTGGAATTGTCTGTTTTTGACAACAGGCTGGCAAGGCTCCTGGTCTGTGGGGGTGGGGTGGCAGAGAGACATAGAAGGGCAGAGGGAAGAGAGTTCTGGACTTGGAGGAGTCAGATCCTGCCTCCTCTCTCTCTGCTAGTTGTGTGACCCTAGGCAAGTCACTTAACCTCTGAGCCTCAGTTTTCTCATCTGTAAAAAGTGGGAGATCATGGCACCTGCCTTCCAGGAGACTCAGACGAAATCCTGAATGTCAAGTCCCTCACCACCTACAGCAGCACTTCTTAAACTGTGGATGGTGACCCCATATGGGGTGGGGTAACTGAATGTGGGGGTCCCGAAAAAATCTGGCAACAGTAAAAGGTTTCTGAATGCACAATGACCAAAACTTAATTCAAAATCAAACCCAATGAATCCAAGGTGTTTCTGGCAGCACTTCCTGCGTCATATATCTCGACTTCACTGTAGCCTAGGTTTCGAACACATAACACGCGCACTTTACACTGTGCATGCCACCACACCACGGAATGCCAATGAAAGTTGTCAGAAACACCTCATCCTAGACTATTGCATGTTATGAATTGCAGTGTTTTTACTGTACATACAAAATTATTAAATGAATTTTGACTTGGGATTAGGACAGAATTCCAACAGTTTCAGAAATGGCCCTAAACATACTTCCACCAATTTGTACTATGTGTTTAGGCAAAGTGGTGTTCTTAGCATTGAAGACTATAAAATCAAAATATCAATCAACTCTGAAAAAACATTGAAGATGCTGTACGTCCTGCAGTATCAAATATTCCACCAAGATTTAATTCTCTGTGTAAAAATAAACAAGCCCAGCCATCTCATTAGTATGTAAACTTGCTTTTGTCTTTAATAAATGGTAAAATTATATGTATACCAAAGAATTGTTTTAAAATAAATTTCTTTATGATTTATTATCAGTGAATATTTAATTTGTATACCTATTTTATATACTGTATACCTGGGGTCGAGTGAAAACTTCTCGGGTAAAAAGGGTCATAAGTAGAATAAAGTTTAAGAAGCCCAACCTAGAGCACCAGGTAAAGGGGAGCTGTTAACTTTACTTAGGACAGGTTGGGCAGTGGTCAAAGGGCCTGAGTAGGACTTTACAAATCAGCTCTGGGATAACTCAATGACTACTGTGAAGGACCAGGCAATAAAGCATTCACAGGAATACCTTTTTTGTGGAACATGTGACCAAAAAAGAGGTCCATTTAAAAAAAAGAGGGAACCCAGTTGAGGGTTGCTTGCCTGGGAGGTACCAAACTCCAGATAAGACTCCTTGATTACCAGCCAAGCTCCTGGGGCCATGCAGGGGGCCCTACACTCCCAACAGGCTTGTGTGTCCTCCCCAGGACACACAGACTATAGTGCACTCAACCTTGAGAAGCCCACCTGCCAAAGAGGCCAGCCTAGCGCCAGAGGGCCAGAGATGCTCCAGAGAACATCTCAGCCAGCAGGGAGAGAAGCGCTGTGGGCTAGGTGAGGAGTGTGTGTGTGTGGGGGGGGGGGTTATGGAGAAAGAATAAGCATTAAGGAGGAATCTAGAGATGGTTGACACAATGACTCTCAATATTGCGAAGGAAAATTGCGTTGACAGACAACAGAACTCTGTTCAGTGCAACCAGAGGTTGAAAGGTCAAAGCATGGTTCCCATCTCCTGGTAGGGAGGGGGTACATGACAGGTGTCAAATAAAGTATACCTTGTCCAGTAGGGTCAATGAACTGGTTAACTGAGCTCAACTCTTACCGGGGTGGGGGTGGGGTGGGGAGAGGGAGTTAAGGGATGGAGCTGGGGGTAGAGAAGGGGAGAGACTGGTAATTGGCTGCGATATTTCCAAAATCACAGCATTACAAATGTACATTATTTAAAAAGAAAGCCTCTAAGATAAGGCTAATTGACTATCTACCCCTTCAGAAGCTGACAACAACAATAACTATTATTCTTATTATCATCATTATCAAGAGTCAGACTGCTCCAGTGGAAGCCTTACAATGTGAAGGGAAAGACAGAGTCTAGTGCCTCTAAGGAAGGTCTCCAGGAGATCGGGTGGACTCCTGTAGTGAATCTGTGGGAGGATGTGGGCCAAGGGATGGATGACCTGCAATCTGCATTTTGGAGGGAATTCCCAAACCAGAGGGTTCCCAGAGACGTTAACGCCAGGACTTAAAGATGCACGTTCATTGAAGGTCTTTCTCCAACTGGCTCCTGCCTGCCTCTGCAGCCTTCTCTCATATACTTCTCCCTCCCCATTCCCAATCTCTAGCGTAGCCCAATCAACAACTTACCCCCTCAGCTACTCAGCACTCACCTCAATTCTTTCCCACAAGGTGTTCCCCATGGTTGTATTGCATCTTCTTTATCTTCCCCTCCGAATCCTTGCCTCCGCCTAAGGCTCAGCTCAAACACTACCTCTTCTGAGAAGTCATCCCTGCTCCTTCCCCTTCTCCCCTGCCTAGCTGGTTAACACTCGCCCCTGCTCCCCCTCTCCTCCTATCGCATTTACTTGTCCATGAAGTTTTAGTGGCCCCCAGAGAAGGTAAGCTCCTAGAGGGCAGAGCTGTTGTATATCTGTCTTTGTGTCTCACATAATGTCTTGCTGATGGTGCTTAAGGAATGTTTGTTGATTTACTCTATGCCCAGACCTAACTTCTGTTAAACTAAGAGCCTGTCTCCAGGAAAATGTGATCAAATGAGATAGCACAAATATACAAGCCAAAGCTTCTAGTTCATAAGCTAGCCAGTACGTGTTTGTAAATCAAAGCTGACCACCCCCACTGAAGGACACACACAAATTCGAGGATGAAAGGCAGGCCGGCAAGATCATCTCCAATCCACAAGACTGGGAATTCACATTAAGAAGCCAGAATTAGTTGTTTGAATCACCACTAAATGGGCAAAACCTTGTTCTAAGAAATCCACAGAAGGAAAAACCAATTGTGTGTGATCTAACCCACATATGAAGTCTTTCTTTTTTTCAATTTCATTTAACACACACACACACACACACACACACACACGCTTTTCCATCTTTTATTTTTTTTAAATAAACAACATAGCTATGATTCTATTCAAATTGGAAATCATGACAATCACATCCCAATATGCTTGTGTCTGAGAGCTTCCCCTGGACAATCATCAAGGACTTCTCAGGATTCATGGAGGCTGGCCAGTGTCAAGGTCACCAACTCTCATGCTTTCACCTCATGGGATAATTTAATTGCTTTGCTTTTTGTAAAAATAGAAGGATTCAAGCCTCTATTCATTGTGGTGAAAAGATAATCAGGACAGATGCATTCTGGATTAATCACTTCTCAATCAACAGAGGTGGGATGTGGGGAGGAAGATACCTATGAGCTCCCACCTTTCTTCTGACCCTACAGGTCCCAGGATGACTCACTGTTCCACTTTTCCAAACCACATATCTACTTCTAAATAACAACAATCTTGTCCTAAAATAACACGACAAAACTTGAATCAACACTTTAATTAATTGAATTTTACTCCACACAAAGTTTCTCTTAAGAAAAAGATATTGGGAAGGGGGGGGTGGAGTGGGGGAGTCTCTTCCATGAACTCATTCAAACTAAAAGAATCAGTTACAAATCAAATCCCCATCTTTCTCTGGTTCCCACCCCATATCTCTAACCAGTGTGACCCCAGAGGCATAGACATAGTGGTCACAATGTGGATGACAATAAGAATGCCACTGAAATTGTCTCTGCACATACAAAGGCTAAGAAAGGCATCGGGGCACTGCATATAGACTATCGGCATGGCTGCAGGAGGGAACAATTTAACTCAGAAGACAGTATTCCAAAAGAGGCATGGCAAAGGACATTACATGGGGAAAGATGGGCAGTGGGCTGAAACAAACCAAAAAAGAATTCTCCCTTCTATCTTGTCATTTTAAAACGGAAGTTCACTTGATTAAGGAAAAGGACACCTAGCTTAACTTATATGTAACAGGAAGAAAGAAGGAAGGGACCATTCAGGAGATCACCCTGGGTCCCCCATCAAAGGAAGGCACTCGGGTTTGCCCGAGGGTCTTTCTGGTTCCGGTATCGGTAGGTCAGCCAGACTCCCAAGATCTGCAGAAAACAAACGGACATGTGTTACTTCAGGTGACATAAATAAACCCCCAAGCTTTGGGCTGTGAAGATTAGAATCAGAAAATTAGCGTCCTTGAGTCACTGGTACCAAAGGGAATGGTTTCTTCTCTTAACTTTATTCAACAAGAGGAAAGAGAACTGAAGAATTCTAGATAAAAAAAGTTGAATGCTCTCAGGGGCTGAAGAAGGCAAACAATCAAAGCTAAGAATATCAAGATCTTCTAAAAACTTGGCCAACGGGTTGGTTAAAAGAAAACAAATGGAGAAACAAAGGCCACCCCCCACAAATGAACTTGCTGCTACAAAGGCTAAAGAAAACACCTCCTGCCTTTGGGGTGCAAAAAAAATCCATATGATGTTGAAAAAAAAGTCACTTTTTAGCTGTCTTGTAATTTCTTCCATGGTTCACAAAAGCCTGATTAAAAAAACGAAACCCACATGAATTGGTACACGTTTTCGAATTACAAAAATTGGTGTAAAGAGTGTCACTAGAGAAGTGTATGACTGGAAAAAAGACCACCTCATCACAGAGCAAGAATGAAGGCTAGCCAGAAAGGCCACTGGTCTACAGCAATGCCAAGGAACTGAAGGGAAGGTACATCGAATGGACCTCAGATGAAGGATATATGGGAGGCCATGGATGACAACTGCCCAGGATGGGCAAGCAGGAATGGCTGCCACATTGAATGGAGAAGACAGATGGATGAGATTGCAGGGACATCAAATTATGCTTTAAAGTCAATAAAAATATTCCAACTTCTTGGGCTGATTTGAAAGATTCTTTCAGAGGAATCAAAAAGTTCAATTTACAATCTATTAGACTTGAAAGCAGGCTGCCAAGATTGCCTTTCTTTGTGTCCCCAGTGCTTAACACAGTGCCTGGCACATAGAAGGCACTTAAATGCTTGTTGTCAACTGACAATCCCAGAAGACACTTACATGCCAACAATTTAGGCATCCATGATTTCATCTGCGGTCACTCCTCCACCCACTCAGATAACATTTCCAAGATGTAGTAGATGGTCCTAGAAAGATGCTATTACCAAAAAATGCAACCCTGAGGTCACTGTGGGGCTGAACCCTGGAGACTTAGCCAGGCTGGTCCTCAGACAACATCACTAGTTCTATACTTGAAACATTCCCTGCTTAGTATAGAACCTGACAGCTATTGCACTCCACAGGAACCACCTCCAAAGAACTCCAGGGTCAAATCCATTCCCCAATGAGGGACTCAAAGAAGACCAGTAGGAAAGGGAAAAGTGATTAAATGTAACTACAAAGACTGAAAAAATAAATGCCTACGGAGGGACATTTTCCCCCCGGAACTATGTTTAACTGCATTTTGTATCCTCTGGATTCTCTTCCATAACTACTGGGGAACTTCCTACATTGAGCTCATTCACTGAACCTTCCCTACTTAATCAGACGGAGTCTACTTGTTCTTGGATGGTCGGTAAGGATTGCAGATGCCCGCCCTTCCATCCAAGCCTCGTAGAAAGTGGAAGCACCAACACTGCAGAGACTGAGCCACTGGCTGAAAATTGGCATCTGCATCCACGGCGGGCTTGCCAAGAGGCACCTGACCCTCCTGCAGGGCACCAGGAACAAAGATGGCAGGCGCCGCCTTGACCTGCGGAGCACAAGGCTCACGTTGCCTAACAGCAGAGAAGCTTGTTGAGAAGGAAAGCCGGGATAAGAGAGACAAACACCCGACAGCACTCTCCAGCTCACAGGGCTGCTCCTCGAGGAAGCGTTCAGGGAGAGATGCGCATAGGGGGAAACCAGGCACCTATATCAATGAACATCAGAGGTGGACATTCAAGGGAGGTGACCGTGCCATAGCTTGCTGGTGGTGGAGGGAATAGGCCAGCTGTTAATGCCTCCCCCAAAAAAATTACATCATATCTACATTGTATATTTTGTATACACATATGTGTACATATCCTTCCTAGAATGTGTGCTCCTGGAGGACAAGGACTCTTTTATTGTGGTCTATATTATTTTTCTTTATTTTTCTTTATTTTATATCCACAGTGCCTGCATTTAATAAATGGTTGTTGATTGAATGAATGATGAAGCACAAATCCTTGAAGAAATGAATTCATTTCCCTTGATGACATTTCACACCTACGGAATTTCCCAGATGGGGGAGTGCCGTACTATAGGGTTGTCTAGAATGACTTACCTCTGTAAAACTAAAGAAGAGGCCGATTCCACCTACAAACCGCAACACCTCGCCAGCGTACTCTTCTATGATTGGAGCGCAGAGAGAACAATAGTGGCTATTTTTCAAGCAGCTCTGTAGAGAACAATGCATATTTATGAGGCCCCATGTAATTTGGTACATTCTCTCTCTTTCGTGGCTGTGTGCTTTGCTCTGGGCCCTTGACCTCGACCTTGATCACTAAACTTAGGGCTCTGACAGGGAGGGAACAACCCTTCCTGCAAAATGAGGCCCATGCTATCCACTGCTTACCTCCCTGCACTCATAGATAATCAGAGCTCAGGGCTCAGCAAAAAGCCTCCTTGGTGCCTCCTCAAACACCAACAATATGTCTTTGATGCCCATTACCTGCATGACCTTGGGTCAAGTCCCTTCCAATCCCTGCTCTTCTGTTTCCTCATCTATAAAATGAAGGGGCTCTACTAGATGTCAACTAGATGACACCCACAGTCTTGTCCAGCACTAAATCTGTGACAAGAATCCCCTCTATAAGATCCCTGGTGATTGGTCCTCCAGTCTTTGCTTAAAGACCTCTAGTGACAGGGAACTCTCTACTTTCCAAGGGCAGCCGATCTCTGCCGTTGGACCGGTTGTTAAGACTTTCCCTTCTACCACTTCTCCCCTTGGCTCCAGAGGGTTACTCCTCCTTGGGGGGAGGAAAAGAAAAGGTGCTAAATGCTTCCAGCCTCCTCCCCAATAAAGGGGAAACTTCTAAAACTGGAAAGAGTACAATGGAGAGGAGCCCTCCCCAAAAACTGAACTCTGGAGGGATGCATACTGCCTGGTACAGTATAACGTATAATATAACCACAGAGTAGAGCTAAACTCCAGTTTACTAAAACACATCTTCCACCATTCCCACCGTAATGCAGACACTAAAAGGGGACGTGTCACTGCCTTTGCAGAAGACCCCACCACCATCACCACCACCTTGAACTGCAGGCATTGGAGGTCTGGTCCAAATCTGACAAGGTGGGTTTGGTACTGGCAGGGGCCTTGGAGGTCAGCTAATTTTACACATAAGGAAACTGAAGCCCTCAGAGAGATTGAATGACTTACCCAAGGTCACACAGGTAGTAAATTGAATAGCTGAAATTTGAATTTGGGACCTTTGATTTCAAGTCCAGCACTTCCCATTGTACAATCCTGCCTCTCATTTAATTGGGTCAGAGGAAGTCAAGTTCCAGAGTCACACAAATAGGAAGAACTGGCTGGTACTCAAACCCAGGTCCATATGCTTCCAAATCCAGAGTTCTTTCTACACTTCAGTAGATGGGCAAGCCACTTGGGGTGCCCAATCCCAAATATCCATTTCCTGGTGTGTCAATGGCTGTCAGCCACCTGAGAGTGGGCACAGGGGGGCCACTAACTGTCACAAGAGCATGGGTAGGATTCAAGTATCCCACAGGGGAGGGATATGGAGCAGAGAACTTACCGCGAGACAGGTGTCATTGGGGTTAAAGCTACGGAACCCACAGCAGTTCAGACTTCTCTGAATATCATCCCGGGCACTGGCTGTGTTGTTCCAGCCAACCTCCAGAAGCTGGCCCTGGAAAGCACAGTGAACACCCACACATTTAAAGGGGAGTTACACAGGGAAGACACAGGAAGGGGCAAACTGGCTCCTTCCCTTCTGGGAGGGAAGAGAGAGACCAGGCACTGGAGACGCCTGTGGGGCTTCCTTCCCCGTGGGCATTCCCACACTAGTCATTCTTTCAAAGGGACTGGCAATGATTCCAGGGCATCTGGGAAGAAGAAGAGCAATGCTGGGCAGAGAGAGGAACAGCTTTCAGCCATTCTCTCCATGCTTATCTCTGTGTGTGCTTATGAAGAAGAGAGGAAGGTTCTGAAGCTGAGATTGCATCTTATTGTATAAGTAACTCCCTCTGCCCAGGCCAATGGCTTCTGCAACTTTTGGACTTGGAGAGTTTCCTGGGGAACTGAGACACTAAGTGACTTGCCCAGGGTCCTACAGTCACGCATCCCATGTGTTAAAGGTGTGACTTAAATCCAGATCTTCCTGATATGAAGGCCAACTCTAGCTGCTACACCACACTGCCTCTCCAAATACTTAGCAGGGAGAGGGGTAGGACCTGACCTGACACTTCATTCCTATACAGAATCTCAAGGTCAAGAAACCCCTTCCGCTACTCAAGGCCGGAACTTTGTCTGCAGTTTGTGGTTGTAGAGATTTGCTTAAAGCACTAAAGGGTAAAATGATCAGAGAAGGGTCACACAGCTATTTTGGCATCCAAGGTGGGACATGAACCTAGGGCTTCCTGACTCCAAGGTTGCTTCTCTTGCCATGGAACTGGGATAGCTTTCTCCTTAAATGGAAAAAATGGAAGAGGGAATTACTCTGAGGAATATGCCTTTAGCAAGGGTAACTTTCCTGTTCCGAGGACAAAAAATGCAAAAAGCCTTCAATCCTCCCACCAACAAGCAAGTACCATAAAAACAAGGTCACTAAAAGGACAGCACAAATATTCTTAACCAATGCTGTGTGGCATCTTGGTGGAGAAAAAGTGAGGGGGGACATGGAGGAAGGCACTGAGAGATGCCATCTTTTGGGAATGGGGGAAGCTGGTTAGGGCTGTCAAGACAGTCCAAGCCAGAGAGATACTTTTGCCTGCCATGACCTCTCTCACCTCTCTTGAAGCTCACACCCTGGTGTATAAGAGCGGGGAGGTATCTCCTTACCTGCTGCTCCTGGTTCAGGGCTAGGCAAGCACAGGATACAGAAAACTGGATGATGAAGACCAGCAAGAGAATGATCATGTACTGGGAGACGAGTGAAGGAAGCTTCTGTGCAGCCTTGGTGATCGAAGACAAGCCCTGGCCCAGGTGCTGGCCCCTCGAGGCAGAGACGCAGCCAGAGTGCACAACCCTTTGGGACTGCATTTCTAGAACAAGACACACGGTGCAGGGATGCCTGCCCTATGTGGTGGACACTAATTCATTAGAAGAATCAAATGGGACCCTCTAATGCAGTTCTATTTTAGGAAACATCGAGAATTTTTTTTTTGGCTGGGCAATGGGGTTAAGTGACTTGCCCAGGGTCACACAGCTAGTAGTGTTATGTGTCTGAGGCCAGATTTGAACTCAGGTCCTTCTGAATTCAGGGCTGGTGCTCTATCCACTGCGCCACCTAGCTGCCCCCAACATTGAGAATTTTTAAGCATATAATATATGAACTATGTCATAGCATATCTACCACTCTAACCTACACATGCACGCATGGATATGCATGGATATGCACACGCACATACACACACACACACACACACACACACACTCATACATGCACACACTATATTTGGCCGTGCTGATACTCAAGAAGAAGGACTGAATGCGTGATTTCATTGGTACGGGGAATTCCCAAACGAGTGAGAAAACTTCCATCTGCTAAGGCATACTGGCACCTTATGGGTTTGAGAGGTGCCTGAGAGGCCTTCCTGGCTTCAAGGCTGGCATGCTCTGCCCACTAGGCCACACTGGCTTTGCCAATATTCAGGTCTTGGAAAAGTCCATTCAATTCAGCAAACATTCATTAAGCTCACTGTGTAGGAGATGAGATGTAGAAAAGACAAAGACAAAGCTGTCCCTGCCCTCAAGGAGCTTAGATTTCCCTAGGGGAAAACCAGCAACGGACCCAGGAGAATGAGCGTGAAGTAACAGCAACCAGACATTTCAAGAGGCAGGCAGGGCTATCAGGAGGAGCTCAGGAAAACCCAGTCACAATGTGCCCTGGAGGAAGCTGGGAGGAGTCAGAGAAAGTCAAGGGAGCCCAGCCATTGAACCCTCCAAACCATGTGGTACCTGAAGCAGCCCTCGATTTCTTCCGAACCAAGGCCAAAAATCTGAGGTTTGCTCATGTTTCAGCATAAGCAGGTAGGAAGAGGAGGGGTCATTAGAGCAGTCCTGGGTGAGTTTCCACACCCTTGGTGCTTCCCTGCAATGAGCCAGTAACCTAGATGGAAGAGCCTGTGGACATTCAGACCCATGTTTCAACCTGGGGCTTAGAGCTTTCTTTGAAGACCACACATGACAGCCAGTGTCTTATTTCCATCCTCCATCTTTGGGACGAATGGAGTGAAACTGCTTGTAGTCTTTCTCAGTTCTGCATGCAGGATGACAAAGCATGCATGTTATACACCTTTCCGCAGCTATTATAGCCACATGGTCTTAAAACTCAGTATCTGGACTTTGAGAAAGGAAATCCCAAGGACTCCACAATGCAAAATCAAAAAGGACTCATACTGGGTGTAAATGTGTATTCTCAGACTGGATAAATCTAAGGTCCCTTCTGGTTCTAAGCCTTTGATCCCATATTGTGATGCCCAAGGACTAGCCTGCCTCGGTTCAGGGAGGCTCGTTGGCCTCCATGTGATACATTTTTGGGCTACAACAAACTCTTTAAGACTATCAACTAAATTAAATAAGCGTCCCAGCCTCTGGTACAAAGAAGGTTTACACAAGAGGTGGGGGGGGGCAGCAGATTTTCTTTTGTCACCACGCTTGCTTATGGTAAAGCTGACATTTTTGTGAATTTCAATCAGATACTTCCTAATATCAAGGGCAAGAGGTCCAAGAGAATGCTGGCTGATGGAGGAAAGGAAGCTTAGGATTAAAATAAACTGTAAAGTAGGTAATCCCTACAGGAATAAAACAGTCAATTTTTTCTGCAATCAGCTTTATTAAAATAAGCTAACTTTCCTTGCAGACTTTTCCCTAAATCATCCATCATGTCACTGCAATGGTGGCTGGGTAAAATATGAACTTTCCAAGTAGAATGTAAGCCCCTTGTGGGCAGGCACTATTCCTTTTTCTGTTTGTATCCCCAACATGTAACATGGTGCCTAGCACACAGGAAGTCCTTAATAAAGCTTTATTCTATTGAATTGACGTGAGCAGGCTATGGAAACAAGTATATAATGAGTGCCCTAGAAATATCTTCAGTAAACACTCTAGAAGAATTAGGGAGGTACTCAGCCCGTGACTAAGTGTACGCTAGGTTCCTAGTCTCTCCTCTGTGTCAAACGGTTGATGGCAGGATCCCCAGATGGGAACTTATTGGCTGAAAACCAAATGGAGACTACGAATTCTTTGCAGACTCCATCCACCTGCCTTCCCTGATACCTACAGCAATAACTGTGTTCTTGTGGGTGACTCAGGAGCAGAACACACCCCACACCTAGGAAATGAGCAAGCCATCTGCCATGACGCTTCTGTCCTCCGAGTGAAATGGTGGCCAATTCCCATTTGTCACATCTGCCTCACCAGACAACACCCATGAGTAAATGTTGACCAAGCCACACGGTATCGTGGGCAGCCTGGGTCAGATCCAGAAAAAGAGAAGAAAAGGACTCTCAGATATGGATTCAGTGTAATAATCAACAATGCAAATTAAGTGCTAACTCTATGCCAGGTACTATACTAGGCACTGCAGCCACGAAGACAAACACCATAGTCCCTGCCCTCAAGAAGCTTCCACTCTACTCAATTTTAGTACTTTAAGGACCCGTCAGTTGGTCAGCGTGTAAAACCCTCTTTGGCACCGGAGGCTCGGACACTTACTTAATCTAGTCTATAGTCTTAATAAGCTTCTCTGAACCGAGGCAGGCTAGTCCTTGGGCATCAGAACATGGGATCAAAGCTTAGAACCAGAAGGGACTTTACATCTATCTAGTCTAAGTCCCTATTTTGACAGATGAGGAACAGGCCTACAGAGATGGAAGTGGCTTAATAAATGTCTAAATTGAATTGCTCAGTCGTAGAGATTGCAAGGGACCAAGCTGGACTTGGAACCTGAGTCCTCTGACTCCAGACCCATCCTTCTTGCCATGGCACCAGAATGCCTCCAAGCAATCGACCATTGGGCCCTAATAGCAAGTCTTTCCCTGAGTTTGGCCAGACCCAGCTCCCCAGGCCATGAGGCAGGAAGGCTTCCGTGATCTTCACTGGTTACCGACTTTTAAGACTTGCATAATAATTTTAGAAAAACGATTTCTACTGTGAGAGGCAGAATGGCTACTGAGAGTCAGGACAACTTGGTTTCAATTCCTCCCTTTGAGAGATTCTTGCTGCATGATTATGGGAAAGTCCCCCACCCGCCAGTGTCCTCAGCTGACACTGTCAAGCCACTGGCTGCAGAAAAGTTGGAGATCAGCATAAATAGGCGGATTTCCCACCCCAGGATTTCCCCCACCAATGAACTCACAAATCTAGAACGAAATAATTAAAGAATGCTGTTAATAGTTAACAGCAAGTTAGGGACATAAACAAGATGGAAAAGCAAGAAACAAAATGACCCCCACCCACCCAAAACAAACAAAAACCAAAGCCTCTCATTGATCCCAAAGGATACAAAGAACAGCAGCACCTGGTGATGCTTCACAGCTCCGATCAGTCCCACCAAGGCAATTAGGAAGAGGAAGATGCCAACAGCGATGACCACACCAACGACCCGGAGGCTGGAGATGAGGCCAAAGCCAATTCCCCAGGCAGCAATCCCGATCAGCAACAGGCTAACCAGCTAGAACCCCCCCCCAAAAAAAAAAGAAAAGAAAAGAAAAGGAAGGGAAGGGATAGGAAAAAGAAAGGACATCTATGTTAGAAGACAAATCAAACAGCACTTGCTCTGTGCCAGAAAAGTGCTAGATACAAAGACAAAAGGGAAACTAGCCTTGCCCTCAAGGAGCTTACATTCTAGAACAGTGCTATTGTTGTATGTAGTTAACTTCTGGCAAAATCTGTCTCTTCCTAAGTCCTGAGGCATACAAGGTCATTACAGGATCACAGAGCAAGGGCTATAAGGGACCTCAGACACCATCCAATCCTTTTAATTTATAGATAAGGAGACCGAGGCCAGTAGTGAATAAGTGACTTGTCCAATGTCACACAATAAGGGTGACATCTGGAGTCAGAGGACCTGGGCTCTAATCTCAGCTCCACCACTTCATGTCTAAGTCATTTATCCTAGCTGGGCCTCAGCGTCCTCATCTGTAAGATGATAAGGTTGCATTTGATGACCTTTACAGACCCTTCCAGCTCTGAGCAGCAGAACCATGATCCAGACTCAGGCTTTGGACTCCTGCTAGCCCAAGGCTCTCTGGACTGTACCACATCCAGAACTCACCAACAGAGGACCTTTGCTCCGGTCAAAGTCACTCAGATTGTTAAAAGGACAAGAAAAGAGAACAAAATATATAAAGGTGCTCTTTGCATTTCACGTGTGTTAACTGTGTTTCCACCAGTTAAACACAACTGAGCTGAGGAAGCCATTACTAGCGATTGATAGGAAGTCAGCTTGGCTCAGAGAGCTCTCTGTGTAAGACCATCACTTATCACTTTCACAATCACCTCATCTAGCCATCATGTATCAGCATCACTGGGGCTGCGCAGGGAGACTGGACAAGGGGATCTGGAGACCTACAAGCACACACCCAGTGGCTAGAAAACTCTAAGTCACTCAGCATGAGGCTCTAGAGACTCAAGAACGAGTTTGGATAATGTGAGCAGATTAAGACAATGATGGAAGGCCAGAGTCTGACAGACACAGGAAGGCTCTTAAGTAGGGTGTTTTCTGAAACCTCCTGCTGACGAGAGTCTGGAGATGCTATGTCTCCAGAAGAATCCAGAAGTGCAGGGGACACAAAGCAGCCCCTGTCCTCAGGGAGCGTACGTTCTCCCCTGGGACGCCACACGTACTCAGAGCGGGAACAGAGAGCACGTACACACAGTAAATACAAAGTGATCCCAGGGTTAGGAAGAGCACGACCAAGCAGGAGGTTTAGAGGAGAGCTCCTGTAGAAGGCGGTAGCATCTGGAAGAAACCATTTTAAGTGCATACATGGAAACATAAAAATACGCATACACGTGCATACATACATGTCTATATGGGTATGTATGTGTGCACGTGCATGCATACATGAGGCAAGGGAACAGTTGGGTTTTGTCTTATTGGGGGGAGCAAAAACTCAGGAAAAATTTAAATTGAGGCTTTTTTTAGGTGTGTGTTTGTACTCATTTCATATCATTGCCATTTTTGGTTTAGGAACAGAAAACCATTCCATATCTAATGTGGTTTGTTTCTGAAATTCTCCCCCTTGTTTTGTTACATTGTAAGCTGGCTTGTTTAGACAATAATTGTAATTTAGCTAACTAGATTTCCGTCTGCAGCAGAGGGGTTAGCAGCTGCATGGTGGGGGGACCCACCCACACAACCACAACCCCAGCCCTCTCTGAAATACTGAAGAAGCAAGTTGATTATTTTTTAATGTTTACTACCACTAGAGCCACAGGTGGCCAGGCTTCATGGCATCCCACCTTAGCATCTCAGCATCTCAGGGTTTTCGGTTTCTCTCTGTTTCTCACAAACAGCAGAGAAAGAAACTGTCCACATCAGGGTCAAAGAAAGCAGTGACTACGCTCCGGCCTTCCTAACCTCCAGGTGTGCATGAAGCACAGGAAACCATATTCTTCAGGAAAAGGAACAGAGACTTCTTTAAAGCTCTCTGAATAGACACAGACTTGTGCCTAAGCACCTCTTTCCTGAGCCCGTAGGCAGTGCCCCTGGGGATGCTTCTCCTTTCTTGTCTCCAAGGGCTTGGGAGAAGTGCCAACTGCTCCCAAGCCAGCTGTCTCCACATTCCTGCACTGGCTTCTAAGGAATCTCGGGTGAATAATCCCCGATAGAACCATTTCTTGGCTATGCCACAGATGATGGAGGAGCTTGAAGGCACCAATACATAAGGTAGGATTCAGACGCCACGTGTCGGGAAGCTTGCATGGGCATGCCCGTGTCATGGTAGTTGTGGGTGTTAGTTGATGAAATGGCAGCCTTTAACAATATGCTGATAACGGTCCACATTCATGGCATTTTCAACAATGAGTCCTCATGAGACTGCTGGTGTTAAAACCCAGGCCAAACCGCTGCAGGCTTATCATCACTGACATTTTTGCCTTTGAATTTGATCCAAGAGATGCATAGGAGGAGCCTTTCAGAAACTCATATGGTCTGATCCACCAGATTTACATAAAACTCTTTCTATGACACAGTTTTTAGAAACCATTGCTGTGGGTCAAGAAACTAGAAACATGATGTGACCACCTTCTTGTGAGTAACGTATTCACATATATTTGTTACCATATCAATGTGGGTACTCCCTCCCACAGATGGCAACAGGGTATACTCTGAACGGGAGGGGCTGCAACTGTCAGTCCTGTGCATGGCCTCTTATCTGTGTCCTTCCAAAAGATTGCAGAGGACAGGGGGTTGCACTGAGGGATCCTCCTCATGTTTCCCTGAAACCACAAGGCTCCAAGTGCCCCAATCTGGTCAACAGTGACCCCTCAACTTGCCACGTGACTACCAGTCCATATTATTTTTCACTCATCCATTTCTCTGATGACGTTGGTTTACTCTGGTCGTCTTTTATAATTCCTTACTGTACCCTTCTCATATCTGCCATGGCCCTCTTTACTTCCCTTTGGGGGGATAGTCATCTTCAATTATTCCAGGACTAGAGCGTTCCATGATTCAAAATCACATATACCTTCTTATAATTAAATAATTGAAGCCAAAATTCATAATCTAAAATAGTTGAATTTTTCAAAATGTGGGTCCTGGGCAAGTTCTCCACCAAAAATTTTTCCTGCTGAGATGGTTCTATAAGAGGTTATTTTGGGGGAAGAAGGGAAATGACCAAAGTTCCCCCTGGGATGCCATCAGCATTTACTTGGGGTCAAAAAGAAAGAACACAGCAATCTGGGGAAGTATGCTTCCCAGAATTAGCATTATGCTGTTGTGCAATGTTTTCTGAGTGGGTGCTGAGACCAACGCTAAGCCCCAGCTACCACCATTTATCTGAGGTGCTTTATAGATTTTCCTGCTAGGAGGAAGAGGGACAGAAGAGGTAATCACTGTATAAGTCATTGGCATAAAAAACATAAATCAACGCATTTCTTTAAATTCCTTGGTAAAAACATTTAAAAAAACCAAGTCCTCCTCACTTCCCTGTCTGTCAATGCCATCTGTGCTCAGTAAATTGTTAAGTCTTGTGATTTCTTTCTTACGAAAACTCTCCCATCTGTTACTTCCTCTTCATTTTTACTAAGGCTACACGTTGAGGCCTTGTCATTCACCACATGATGCTAAACGCAAGAAGCTCCTCAGTGGTCTCCCTAATTCCAGGTCGCCCTAACAATGCCCACTCACACAGACATACACCCCAATGAGTTTGGGGCTCACTTGTTCCTCCTTTGGTTTGGCTTGTTTTGCCTGATTGTTTGATGAGAGTCCATGAAGGAGAAACCTAGAGTGGGCCTGCTGCAAAGAGCTGCCTGTGCAGTCTTCCTAAAATGACTGTGGTGCCATGTCTACCCTTTGCTTCCTATGGACCTGAATTGAAACTTCTCCACCTGCTGCAGAATGTTCTCTATCACTCCACCCCACATTACTGAGTAGAGTAACATCCCACCTTCCCAAACTATCTACCCCCCAATCTCTCTCCCCTTTAACTCTTACCCTCCATACTAATCAGACATGTCTCCTCATTGTTGCACAAACCAGCCATGCTCATCCCCACCTTCATGTACTGCATGGAAGCCTCAACCCCTGCATGGAATCCCCTTGGCCAATCCAGCTGAAATCCATCCCGCTTCCCTGACTGCTCGAGCCATCAGTCATCATATTACGCCTTTCTTCTGAAGCAAGACACCAACTCTGACCTGGGCCACCCAGGTCACACCATCCAATTTCTCCTGTAATGTTGTTTTCCTATTCCTAGCTCTTTCAGAGGAGCTAGTCCTACATCCACAACTGGGTTGAAAGCTTCTTCAAAGTAAGAAAAACAGACATCTCTAACCCTCTCAAGCATCTAGCACAGAGAGGAACGCTTGGGAGGTGGGGGAGACACTCCATAATGTATTTTTACTACACGTTTTGTTGCTGGCCGGTCATTGAGTCATGATCTTAGTGACCTGTGGACCACGCCACACCCATACTGCCCATAGGGTTTTCTTGGCAGAGATACTGGAGTGGTTTGCCATTTTCTTCTCCAGGAGATTAAGGCAAAGATGACTTGCCTAGGTTCATGCACCTACTATGTTTTTGAACTCAAGTCTCACTACACTAAATATTGAAGCACTCCCAGCGTAGGAATTCCCTTCGTATGGTGACTTACCTATGAACTGTAGGAAAATCCTGGATAACTGTTCAAGGTACTGAAAGGGCAAGTAGTGTGCCCAGGGCCACATAGCTAGTAAATACTAGAGATGGGATTCAGATCAGTTCTTAATGACTCTAGCCACTACCCCCAGCTTGCCACATTTTAAATCTGAGATCATTGAAATTCAAAGAAACAATAGAATCTAGATTTCTGGTAACCAATTTATCAGTGACTTGAATAAAGACACAGATGGATGCTTGTCGGATCTTTGGATGACACCAAGCTGGGAAGGATGGCTAGCATACAAGTTGACACAGTCAGGATCCCAAAAATTCTTGAGAAGACGAGGCAGTAGTTAAAGAGCTGTCTTTAAAGCCAAGAAGACCAGGGCTGCAGTCCCATTTCTGCAGTCTCCTGGCTATGTGACATTAGACAAGTCATTTAACTGCTCTGTGCTGTGGCCAGCTAGGACCCTAAATTGCACAGAAGGTGCTGATCTCTATTGGCAGATGGAGGAAACTGAGGCTCAGAGAGTTGACCTGCCTTTTCCACAGTTACATAATTAGTAACTGTCAAGGAACCTTGTATTTAGAGTTACTTTAACCACTAATCCAGGCTGCCTCTTTGCAAGTTTGAAAGGGCTACACAAATGTCAGAGGTTATTAATGTTCACTATAGGCAAAAGAAAAGACAGCTATCTAAGTCCATTACTGCCCAGGTGTTCTGAACTGGGGAACAGTAGGTAAGTGATAATGGGCAGCTAGGTGGCACAGTAGATAGAGCACTGACCATGAAGTCAGGAAAACCTGAGTTCAAATCTGGTCTCAGGATACTCCTTAGCTATGTGACCCTAGCTAAGTCACTTAACCCTGGTTGCTTCAGTTTCCTCATCTGTAAAATGAGCTGGAGAAGAAAATGGCAAACCCCTCTAAGTATCTTTGCCAAGAAAACTCCCAATGGGGCGACAAAGAGCTGGATATGGCTGAACAACAACAGTAACACCAGGTAGATGATTCTGGCAGGTTTTTCCATATGATCCTGTCATATTGCTAAGGGACCAACCAGACAATAATTAAGATGGTGAAAGTTTCAAAAATATATGCCATTTTAAAAAAAAATCGATGTTGAAAAAAGTTTCCATAATGTATAGTCTCACTGTTTGGAATTTAATTGGCTATGGTTTGGGGTGATAACGTCCCCAATTCAGCACAGCAAAGTCTCACCATATTAAGAATGGTGAGCTTCACCAAGTTCTTCTAGAAATATAGGCTTCATCTGGTTCTGCCTGTAAAAGATGAGTAAGGCTTCACTTATACTTATTGGGGAAAATAAATAGACCACATTGAGTCTTCCTGACTGCTTCCTTAAAATCGATGTCATCTGAGCCAAGCCTACTCTAATTTCATAATTGAAAAGCCCAGTTCTTCCATCTAAAGCCACAAGTTCCCGACAAAGGAACAAAAGGTCCCCTTAGTTCAATGACAACATTTCCCTTATGAAATCAATTTTAATTGAAAGTAAATTTAGACCTTTGATGAATGGCTTCCTTCCTTTAGAAGATGGAAGTCTAATAAAACAGATTATAGGTCTGTTCATTTGTATTTAGTCGTGCCTCTATAAAGCAGGAAGCACCAACCTTTCCTGTTTTCTTTTGGAAACAAAGAAAAGTTAATGATATAAGCTCAGAGATGAAAAGGGCTTAGATAAGGAACTAGACAAGGCATAAAAGTCTATCCAGAGTACTTTATTTCCTCTCAAGCAAGCCCCCAAAGCCAGAGAGAAGCAACCGTGAGGGCCCAAGACAAAATAACAATGATGATGATGGTGATGATGACCGCTAACTTTTATAGAGTGTTCACTATGTACCAGGTAATGCTTTATGAGCATTATCTCATTTGAAATCAAAATTCAGGAGAACATGAAGTAGAGACTAAAACGGTGGGAGGAGAAGTTACCGGAATTCCGAGGTTGCTAGTATCACAGGTTTCAGAGTCGGAAGGGGCCTTTGGGCTCATTTAGTCCAATACATTCATTGTCATTGCTGGTGTTCAGCTGGTGTTCAGTTCTATCTGACTCTTTGCCACCCCATTTGGGGTTCTCTTGGCAATAATACTGGAGTGGCTTGCCATTTCCTTCTCCAGCTCATTCTACAGATGAGGAAACTGAGGGAAACAGGGTGAAGTGATTTGCCCAAGGTCACACATTTAGGAAGTGTCTGAGGCCAGTTTTGAGTGCATTCATTGTACAGAGGAGGAAAACAAGGCCCAGGGAGGTATAATTTCACCCAGGCCTGTAAGTGGCAAAGCCATGATTTGAACCCAGGTCTTCTGCCTACAGAGCCAGTCCTTGCTCCACTGAACCATGCTGCCTTCCTAAATCACTAAGTTGCTGATTTGGGAAGCATATCATTTAACGTTTGTCCCTTGCCCTTCCCCCACCAAACAATCATAAGGATATAACTAAACATATGATCTAAGTTATCACCATCCAACTGAATGTTTCCATGTCCCTTCCATGATCTAAATACTTTTCACAATTACAATTTAAAGGCTAACTTGTTATATAGACTGAGAGAGGATGTGAGCTGCAGTGTTTATGTGAAGACAGAACTGGGTGGAGGAGTCCTCCCCTCCCTCAATCTGAGAAAATCACCTAGTACTTGAGGGTGCTCAGGGAAAATTCCGTGAAGTTACCAAACATCCTGCACCCCAGCCCACTTTAGAACATGTAACTTCTGAGTTATCTAAAAAATATTTTAAAACTGAAAGCATGACCACTTTATAGCTGAGAAAACTGAGACCTAGAAAGAAGAAATGACTTGATTATGGTCATCCGCTCAACAATAAGTGAGGTGGTCCCTCCTCTCCCACCCCCCACCACGCAGGCTGGAGGACTTCGGGTGTTGAACACTACACATAACAGCAGACTTTTCAATGTGTTGATTAGTTTTGCTAAATTTTTTCCCTTCAATTTTTTGTTTGTTTGTTTTACAAGTCCCCTGGAAGTGGATAGGAGGGATCATAATGGGAAATATTTGAAATGTCGTAGGTAGACATACCATCATAGCTAGGATTCAGGGACATGGTGCAAACCAAAACCACTCTTTCATTTGCATGTTCACTCCACAAAAATCCCCAGTGATTCACAGAATGTTTGGAGGATAAATAGAGAGCTAGCAACATTTTCAATTCAATTCAATAAACCCGGATTAATTGCTACCACGTGCCAGGCATTATGTTAAGTGCTGGGGTGGGGATACAAATTAAAAAAAAAAAACCAGTCCCTGCCCTCCTGGAGTTTACAGTCTGATGGGGGGAGGGGGAACTCAATACACAACAAAAGGCTTTTGAAGTGATACTCACCTTTGCCGCAGGGTCTTCAGTGACCAAGAGGTGCATCTGATAGCAGGGAGCACATGGCATCCCCTATAACCCCTATAGAAGCACAGCAGAAGATAGAGAATGGAATTTTCTGTTTGCATCCAATGTTGTTCCCCAAAGAGGCCCGTAAGCTAGGAAATGCTCAGTGCTATCTGTCTTGCAGACGGGCTATGCCCCAGCATGGCTGGCACTGGCTGGCTCTCCAGAGGCCGTCCAGCCCACCTTCTTTGACCATAACTTGCAGATTGCTGAGAATGGGAACGTTCAGGGGCAAAATAGAGGCTTTTTCCGGGATTATGGAAGATGTCTCCAGGTCAGCTAATCCAAGCTGCTCATTTTAGAGATAAGAAAACTGAGGCCCAGCAAGGTCAGGTGACACACCCATAGCCTCACAGGTGGCTGAATTAACCAGGATTCCAACTCAGCTCCTCTGACTCCAAATTCAGCATCGTTTCAACTTCATTATTTTCATACTGATTATCATCCTCACCTAATTTCATGTTTAATGTTGTAAGTGTGAAAAATAGCATCATGACTAATATTTAAGTGAGGGTTTGCCAAAGGCCTTATGAGCCTTATCACACCTGAGCTGCGCAGGCTGCAACTTCTAGGAGCTGCAGGTCAATACCAAAGGGGGATGGGCAGCCCTCACATGGGAGGCGCCACTCCCCCCTCAACACCCCAAACACCCCCTCTGGCTCATAATAATGCCAGCAACAAAACAGAAACTGACATTTATTTAGCCCTCCAAGCCCGCAAACACACACACGCACAGGTATGCATATGTACACATGTGTATATGTGTTACATGTATATACACTCATAGCTGCTCTCTAGGTCTTTCACTTTCAGAGGCCATCCCAACCTGCATTGGTGGAGGGTAGTTTCACACCAAGAGTTACCCACACCAAGGAGGTTGGAGGCGGGGCCCAAGATTAACCATTCCAATAATAGCTTTCTGTAAAACTCTGCCAGCAGCTCTCATCTCCTTCCTACTTGCCCTGGTGTCTTTAAGGCCTTGTCGGGGGAGCCATCCCTGGGCAGGCAGCAGGTGAAGACAGGGACAGAGTCATGCCTTTCAGCCCTTCCTGAAAAGTCAGGGACCATGCAGGCCATTGGTATAGGATGACCTGCCCCTGGGCTCCTTTCCAGAGCAGGGCCAGGTCTAGAAAGCCATGCTAGCAGTGACAATAAACACAAATGGAACAGCTGCTCTTCCAGACGGCCCCTACCCTCACTGCCCCCTCCCCCAAGATCCACAGCCTGGCCAGAATCCAAAACAACTCTAATGAACCCTATAGCTAACATCCAGAGCACTTCCAGACCTATGAAGTGTTTTACAGATATCACCTCCTGCACAATGCCTCATCCATGGCAGGCACTGGATAAATGCTTATCCCACTGATTGGCCCATCTCATTCAAGACAAAGAGCGCTAGACTTGAAATCAGAAAAGTCCCGAGTTCAAATCCTACTTTACAAGCTAAGCAGAGCACATCTGACTTAGCCTTTCTGTGTCTAGGGCTACTAAGTTATAGAGGAGTGGCTATAACCATTGGGGAAGGGAGTTCACCCACGGAAGTTCCCTACTCTAATCAAATCCCAGATTCGTGGAATATAAGACAATAACTAACATTTATCGTGTGGACTTATAAAACGTTTCAATGCCTTTCTCATCTATCATCTGAGCCTTTCAACAACACCGTCAGGTAGCTACTGCTGGAAATATTATCTAGATTTTATACATGAGGATGCTGGGGCTTAGAGAGGAGGCAGGTTTTCTTCTGGGGTCACCCAGCGAGTGCCACCCAGAAGCAGAGTTTGAACCCAGGTTTCCCTTGTCTCTGAGCCCAGCACTCTATCCACTAGGCTATACTGCCTCTTTCAAGAGTTACCTGAAGTAGGGGGCAGCTAGGTGGCAGGTGGCACAGTGGATAGAGCACCAGCCCTGAAGTCAGGGGTACCTGAGTTCAAATCTGGCCTCAGACCAAACACTTGACACTAGCTGGGCAAGTCACTTAACCCCAATTGCCTTAAAAAAAAAAAAGAGTTACCTGAAGTCAAAGCTAAAAACGAGGTGAGCACCTGCTGCATGTCTTACACTTTTGAAAACCAAAATGGCAGGAAATGTTCTTTTTAACATCATATTCTCAGAGGCTTTATGGCTGACTCAGCATGTGTCCCTTGAACGTGAACATTAGGTCTGCCACATGCACTCGCTTTTGATTAATTTGCAGAATATTCAATGGTCTGAAAATCAAGAGCTCTTGGACAAAGAGGCATCACCATTACCTCTGATCCCTGAGCAAAGGAATGTTGAACATTTAAAATAAGCCTAATCAAGAGGGAGAAGGCCATCCTTTCAACTTGTTACTAGGAGGATCAGTAAGTGGATGGGGGAGGGGGATGGCCAGAAGATGGGTTCTGGGGCATTGGCCCCATCTGGACCAGGGCTGAATTAGGGTTCAAACTTAGTTCCTCCAGCCCTGATTTGTCCACTCTTTGAAATGTACTATTTTTGCACCAACAAATAACTGGTCATAAGCACTTAGAGACCCATTTAACCTCATATTTAAGGAAAAGGGGGAAGGGAGTAGTATTTATTAGTACCAGGCACTGTGCTAAGCATCTTTTAAAAATGACCTCATTGATCCTGTAGGTGCTATTATTATCCCTATTTTATATATGAGGAAACTGAGGCAAACAGAGATTGACTTACCCAGGGTCACATGGCAGTGTCTGAGTCCAGATTTGAACTCAGGTCTTCCTGACTCCAGAACCAATGTTCTAACCACTGAGCAACCAGCTGCCTCTTATTCCATATCTTAGGTGTTAAAAATATACACATACGGGGCAGCTAGGTGGTGCAGTGGATAGAATGCAGCCCTGAAGTCAGGAGGACCTGAGTTCAAATCCGGCCTCAGACCAAATACTTGACAGTACTAGCTGTGTGACCTTGGGCAAGTCACTTAACCCCAATTGCCTCACTAAAACAAAAAATTAAAATAAATAAATAAAAATACACACACACACACACACACACACAATCTGTATTTATCCAGAGCTTAATCTCCCTCTTTGCCCTGGTTGCAGGCTGTTCCCTGGGGCCCTGGCCCGATATCTTCATAATGGTAGCTGTGAGCCACAGAGTGAATGCTCGACTTGGGGAAAGCCTGATTCAAATCCTGCCCCCCCACCCCTGCACTTATGCACTGTGTGATCCTGGCCAAATGACTTGACCTCTCTGAGCTTATTCCTTATTAGTAAAATGGAGCCAGTATTAGCACTTACCTCACAGGGTCAAAGAAGGTAAGATGTGCAATTATTATTAGGAATCCTAAAATTTTATACTAAAAAATGAAAAAGCACAGGTACCCCCCTGCCCTCACACTGCTGAAGAGGCCGGCGCACGGCTGGCGAGGCTGGCCGGGGGCCAGGAGGCATCCATTCCATTCCCAGCTCCCTCCTTTAGTACCTTCCAGCTGGGGGGGGGGGCGCCTTTCAGGCTTGAGGTCTTGGCCCCTCAGCTGGTAGCACCTCCAGAGAAAGTTACCTTTCATCTGCTCCCTCTGGGCCCTCTATACTCTGGTTACTTACCTGTTGCCCCCCCTTCTCCCACCCACTAGACTGTAAGCTCCAAGAGGGCAGCACGGTATCTCCTTGCATGCCCAGCGCCTGGCCCAGGATCTGGTACAGAATAAGTGCTTAATGAATGCTTGTAGATGGATCAACAGGAGAGAAATCTCCTTAAAATCCTGCTCTTCTGGAATGTTTTGTTAAATGCCCAAATGATAATAATTACAAAAGTGACTTAATGTCCTGCCTTGGCCTCTGAAGGTACCCATATATAAGTCAGAAAAATATGGTTTCAGGTACTTAACATTGTTTTAGTTTGTAGACCAAGGCTAGAAGAGTGAATGAGGAATCATCATTGTCTCCCCTGCCTCCAGGGATCAAACCTGGGAAAGGGGCCACAAAACCACACACACACACACACACACACACACACACACACACACACACACACACGCACGCCGCTTGCTTTCTATTCCTATCTCCTCACTTCCCTGAAGTCTTGCCCTGATTTTTTTTTTAATACAGGCTAGGACAAAGAAGTCAAAGCATTAAGCTATTATAGAGATGCCAGATTAATCTTCCTAATGTAAAACTCGGCTCTTGGTGCTCTCCCTGCTGAAAAGCCTGCAGAGTTTCCCATCTCAATCATGGCAGTGGCGAAACTCGAGTGAGAAGGAGCCTTGAAGGTCAATGAACCCAGATCTGTTATTTCCTAATGGAGAGTCCTTCTTGGTGTTTGCCTTCATTTTTCCAAAAGGGAGCAATGACATCACCAGGTGGAATTGATGGCACAAGGTTAAACTGGGAGTGTGGAGCAAAGCTAGACCTTTAAACAGCCAAGTGCTGGGGAGACAGGGAGGCAGCCAGAGGACCTGAGTTCAAATTCTGACCCTGCTCCTTAATAACATGACCTCAGCATGCACTTTCACCACAGTAAGATTCAGTTTTCTCTATAAAATGGAGACACTAAACTCGAGGACCTCTAAGGTCCTTTGCAGCTCCAAGTCTATGGTCCTCTAAACTAGCCCCAATTTTCCTTCACTTCACTTCAATTTGTAAAATCATTTTATTAGGCACGTGATATTTTCAAGGTAATGTCTTTGTTGGGGATGTTCATAGAGTGATCTAGGGTGGGGGATGGATTTCAGGGAGATATGTCTGGCTCGGGCTCAGGTTAGGACCTCCTCATACAGAATGTAAGCTCACTAAGGACAGAGACTGCCTGGCCCACAGCAGGCACTTAATAAAATCTGCCATTATTGTTGTTTGCCAACACACACCTGTTGGCCAGCTCTCCAGCCAATTTGCCATGCTATTTCACAAATGGTGAAACTGAGGTCCATTCCTGTGCTTAGGGCCCCAAAGTTACTAAGTGTCTGAAGCCAGATTTGAATCCAGGTCTTCATGAATCTGAAATCAGAACTCAAATCACCTAGTGCACACTGCAGCTCATTCTGGTTCCCCCAAGCACATACTCGT